AAGAGATGCATTTCCAGTAATATTTTACTTTTATGTTTAATGAGTGTTTCTTATTATATTTTTATTTTAATCAATTGTGTACTAAGACTAATTTTAATTATAACAATCTAGAATAAGTTCATACAGAGCCTTATGGTCTCAGGGGGAAATTTTTTGTTTCTTTTAATAAACATAGAGTAATATTTGTTTAGACAAGTATAAAAGGACATTCAAGAAAAATCTTTCAAGCATAAAAATACATTAATTTAGGATTACATTTTGTGGAAATACAGGTTCAAGAAGAAAAAGGAAAGATGTAAAACTTTCAATGTTAAAACAAAGTTTGTCCACATAATTTTTAAATAGATGGTGGTTGGTAGCAGATTACACTGGCACTCAGTTTCTATTTGACTCATTAAAATGAGTGACGTGACAATATTCTTTTAAAATGTCAATATTTAGCCCTGGCAGGTTTGGCTCAGCAGTTAGAGCGTCGATGCATGGACCAAAGAGTCGTGGGTTCAATTCTGGTCAAGGGCTTGTACCTTGGTTGTGGTTTGGTCCCTGGCCGTGGTTGGGGTCGTGCAGGAGGCAACCAATTGATGTGTCTCTCTCACATAGATGTTTCTCTCCCTCTCTCTCTCTCTCCCTTCCTCCTCCCACTCTACCTGAAAATAAATGGAAAAATATTTTCAGGTTAGGATTTTTTTTAAATAATAAAAATAAAACATCAACATTTAAAAGACATCAAAAATGACATCTTTTGCAAATACTCAAACTTATAATAAAGAAGTTGATATGTCAAGTTAAATACATAGAAAGATAGCCTGGCCGGGTGGCTCAGTGGTTGAGTGTCGACCAGGTTGTAGCAGGAACCCCAGTGGGGGGCATGTAGGAGGTGGCCAATTGATGTTCTCTCTCATCAATGTTTCTGTCTCTCTCTCTCCCTCTCCCTTCCTCTCTCTATTAAAAAAAATCAATAAAGAAAAAACTAAAAATATATTAAGATAAATATGTAGATTCCATTTGTATGACATTTTAGAAGAGAGAAAATTAATCTACAGTATAGTGAAAGATATCAGAACAGTGGTTACCTTTAAGAGGAGTAGGGGTATGGATGGACTGGGAAAGGGTACAAGGGAACTTTTGGGGTGATAGTAATGTTTTATACTTTAATAGGGTTTGGGGTTAGAAAAGCAAAGCATTGATCAAAATCATTAAACAGTATACTTAAAATGTGTATATTTTATTTAAATAAATTTTATCTAAAAAAATCTGTAAACAAATATTTGAACACTAGTTAATGGTAGGCATGCTAAAGAGTTTAGGGTAAAACATTGATTTCTAAAATGTATTTGTAAATGCATACAAATAGATTGACAGATGGACAAATGTAGAGATAAGTAACACAACTAAAGCAAAGTGGTTATAGCAGAATCTAGGTGGTGAGTATATGGTGTTCACTGCTCAATTATTTCCATTTTTCTGTATATTTGAAAATATTCACAATAAAATATTGGGGAAAATGTGCAAGAGGGGATATATTTTTCATAAGGAGAATATATTTTTTCATAATTCTTTTAGGGAATGTGTGCACAAAAGTTTGAAGACCAATGGTTTTTGTTATCACCATTTGCTGATGAATTTTTAACCTAAATTTACAGCTCAATCCTCTCTCCAGAATCCCAATCATATTTCCATCTGTCTCCTGGACCATTCCATCTGGATTTCCCATCAGATCTAACATCCAACAGATCTAAATATAAATTTATTGTCTTCTGTGTCAGTTAGGAAAATCATCAGCTACAAGTAAAGGAATATAAGATTAAAACAAAACAGGGATTATTTTTCTTACATAACAAGAAATCTGGAGGTACGTGGCTGCGGGTATCGGTTCAGCAGTTCAACAGTCTCCTGGCTAGCAGGTCTGCAATTCTCTTGGCCTTTGCTCATAGTCACAAAATGTTCTATAGCTCCAAGCATCATGTCTGAGTTCAAGATGGGGGGGGGGGGGCAAGGGAGCAATGCCAGTGACAAATGAACCTTTTACTAGGACAATTCAGCCTGGCAAGTGTGGCTCAGTCGATTGAGCGTGTTATCCCATGTACTGAGAGGTCCTGGTTTGATTGCCGGTCAGGGCACATGCTCAGGTTGTGGGCTTGATCCCCAGTAGAGGGCGTGCAGGAGGCAGCTGATGGATGTTTCTATCTCACATCGATGTTTCTATCTCTCTCTTTTCCTCTCTCTAAAAAAATCAATAAAAACATATTTAAAAACACACACGCGCGTGCGCACACACACAATTTCAGATTTTCCAGAAGCCTCTCAGCAGACTTCCACATAAATCCCATTAATCAATTTTGTGTCATATGGTGACCCCTAGCTGCAAAGGAGATCAGAAAGCAAATACTTAGCTTTCCTATCCTCTAAATTAGATGTAAGATTGGGTGACTGGTGAGCTCATCTACAGTATTTGGAACATTCTCTCCAAAACCTGCTCCATCTTCTATACTCTATATCTCTGTTAACAATTACATGATCTGCCTAGTTACCCAAGTAAGAAACCCAGGAGTCATCCTTTCCTCTCTTTCCCCTCTTTCCCCTTTTATTCCTCACGTCCACTTTGTCTTGATCTTTTATCGGTCATTGAATATCTCTCAAATCTCAGCTCTTCCCTACACCTACTGCCGCTGTCTGGGTTCAGCTTCTCATTTCTACCCAAACTACTGCAATTAGTCTCAAGTCTTAACTTTGAACCATCCTCCCTGAGGCCCCAGCTTGACCATTCTAAAAATAGAAATCTAACTATCATATCTCCTGCTTAGATCTTGTCTGTGGCTTTGCAGACCATCTAGTTTAAAGGCTAACTTCCTTATTTTGTCATTCAACGTGGTTCCCTGCTTCATAATAATGTGCTCTTGAAAATGTGTTATCAGTTAGGATATCCTAGTCCTGTCAAGGGTCAGCTCCCCTAAGACACAACGTTGCAGAGGGAAACTGGGGAAGCCTATACTCAAAATCGAAATCTGTTACGGTACACAGGCAACCGTCTCTCTCTCTAATACATGTGTGCTAAACTTGTAGTGTGAAAGAACAACAGATTTATATGTTATAATAGGCATTCTGTTCCCAGAGAGTATGGAATTGCTAAATATATTTTGTCCTAGAGACCTAAAATTCAAAAATATACTTGAAGTATATCTTTATTGTTCATTCAGCTTAGAGATTTATTGAATGCCTACTATGTACTAGACACTACTCTTACATTTAGTTGTTTCCTTTATAACAGAACAGAAATGACAAATATAGAACAATGTTTGACTGAAGCTAAAGATTTGCCTCTTTCTGCATACCTAACGACTTCCATCTCTGTCTCTATTTCACTACTTGAAACATATGCTTATTATCAGAATCAGCACTTTCATTTTTCTGTCTTCTACTCATTTTTCATAAATAAAGTTCACTTTGGATACTCAAACAAATGTCCAAAGACAGAGATGCAGGCAAAAATGGCAATATGGTAGAAAGTGATTGGTCACCTGATACCATACAGTAATAGCCACTCCTTATATAGTACTTACTCTGAGCCAGGCACTGTTCTAGGCACTGACCAATATTAACTCATTAATCTCCACAACTCTATGAGGTATGTACTATTATCTCCATGTTGCAGATGAGGAAACTGAGGCCTGGAGATAGTTTTGTGCTTTTGTCAGTTGACTGACAGTTGTGCCCTGGCATCTTTCTTACCTCCTTCTCTGCTCCACTCGAGCTAACTACAGCTTTCAGCCCCCCAGGAGCCCTTGTTGGCTCCGGCGCTGTCCCATTTGCGCATGCTGTCCTACCTGCGGGGACTGTTCTCTTCTCAGACTCGTCCTTCAAGGCCTGAATAGGCCCAGCCTGCTCACAAAGCCTTCCCTGCGCAGGCGGTGAGGCCAGGTCCCGCTGGCCAGCACTTGCCAGACCGCCTCACCTTGCAGTAATTATCTGCCTACCAATCTGTCTCTGCCACCAGAGCAGGTGCTCCCAGGCTAGGCAGTCTTGGCATTGTTGAGTCCCTGGGGCTTGCTGCTACGCGGCCTGGCCTCTAATAGGCACAGAAAGTTTTGCTGAATTAATGCATAGGCTCCCTGCATTTCACACGTTCTTGTCGCCCCCACACTGTCTAGCACCACATATTGTAGACACTTAGTCAACCAGAGTGGGAGCCTGATTTCCCCACCAGCAGCCTAACTTAATAAAACAAAGCAAAACAAAACCCTCCCCCTTTTAACTCCCATCTGCACAGCACAGCTAATCCCCGAGGGATTGGATCCCTTTCCCAAGCCCTCTCATCCGTTGAATCCAGCAGGAACTGGGAGTCTGACGCCCCCTCCGCTGGCCAGGCCGAGCAGGGTGGGAAGCAGAGATCCAGGCAGGACAGCTGCACCCCGCGCCTTCTCCCAGTTCTTGCCTATTAAGGTAAGAGTCCTCGCAGGAGCGCGGGAGGGCCGGGAGAGGGTCCTTTGGAAGCGGCCTCGGCCAGTGTGCTCGTCTAGCGCCGGAGAACCACAGCCCGCAGCCGGGCGCCCAGCTTCAGGGCTTCCTCGGGTTCTACTTATCTCTCCACCCTAGGCCACCTTCCTAGGTTTCCATAGCCACCGGGGCACGTTCCATCACCGCAGGCCTCAAATGTATCTTTGCACAGGGCGCTGATTAAGTGGGTCTCCGGTCCCCAGTGGTCGCTTCTTCCTGGCAGATGCTCGGATAGCCACAGGGAGCGGGGCGCCTGCGGGGTGCGTCGCTTAGCATCGAGAGAGAAGGAGGCGGTCCCCTCTTTCGGGGAGAGCGACGAATGTGCTCCTACTGGCTGCGACGGTGCCCCCACCCCTCGCCAGCCTTACAGCTCTGGGTCTTCCTGAGCCCTCTCTCGCCCCCTGCCGGGCTCCTGCCCCGCCCCCAAAGGCCCCGCCCAGGGCCCCGCCTCCCTCCCTAGCGCTCCGCCCCCTCCCCGCCGGCTCCCGCTGCTCCCGGCGCTCAATCGCCAGCCTGGGGACTCCGGATCCAGCCGCCCGGGCCGCAGCATGGGGCGCTTCCGCGGGGGCCTGCGGTGCATCAAGTACCTGCTGCTCGGCTTCAACCTGCTCTTCTGGGTGAGACCCGGGGCCGAGAGGGCCGGGCACGGTTTGGGACCAGGCGGGGGCATGGGGCCGGGGTCCCCCGGGAACTGATCCCTGTGGCGCGTCAGAGCCAGGCTCCAGGAAAAGGCAGGGTGTTCCAAACGGAGGAGGTAAGAAAAAGACAGACAAAGAGGGAGAGGAGGGATGGAGAAGGAAAGAGAGAGATTGAGCAACGAGCAATGATGAGAAGAGGGGAGACACCGTTGGCTCTGCCCTTTGAGGAACCTCTCCGCCTGGGTTTTCATCTCGCAGCTGATGACTCCAGGTGCGGGGACTCTAGCCTCTCTTCACATCCTGAGGGGTCGGCTCCCCTCCAGCGATGCACACCCCCTTCTCACTCTTCTTCCCACTGGAGCCTAGGCCTGGCCAGGGCGTTGGAGAGGAGCCCCTGCACCGGGGCTGCCGGGGGCTGGTGCCCCATCTGAGTGTGTGGACTCACATGGGGGAGAAGGGAGGGTCGTCCTTTTTCTGAGTATTAAGGAGGGGTCCAGCTGGATCAGGGGAGGTGGTGATGCTCTTGTGTGAAGAGAGAAGGGAGGGGCAGCATCATCTCCCCCCACCCCAACCCGCAGCCTCTGCTACATACTAATGCTCCCAGGGATGATCTCATTCAACTTTGCATTGAATGAATAATATTCTGGGGATTAGTGGTCCACAGAGAGCCAGGGCCATGACCCTTGTCTTCTATATTATTGAGACAAGACTAGGGCTAGACCATCCCTAGATCCCTGGATACCCTATCTCAGGCCCTAAAGGACTGTGAGACAAGATCTGAAAATTGTCTTGTCTGCAAATTCCCTCATGGACTTTCTGAAAAGAATGTTAGCCAGAATAACTGCTCAGATAGACCTAGAAGGAAAATAGAGGTCTTATTTTGGGTGAAGACGTTCTTAGAGCCAGGAGGGAGTGGCAGGGGCCTGGGTGTTTTGAAACAACTGGAATGGAGGAGGTGGTGGTTGTCCTAACTGCTCTGGGGAGGTTGTCTTCCTTTGCCTTCAGCTAATTAATTATTGAATAATGGGCTCTACTTGTGTCTGCCAACCCATTATCCCAGGTGCCTGGATGACTCCAGCAACCCAAGCTCTTAGAGGCCAAGTTGCCATCCTCACTCAGCATCCTTCATCAGGGGAAGGTGTGAAGGAGGTGGCCTGGAGACAGCCCTGAATTTTAAAAATACACATGGCTTTGTGCACCGGGGCATTTCCACCCAGCATACTAGAGGAAGGAGCAATATTTCTAAAGGTCTTTATGCTGTGCTTTTGAATAGTCTGTCTTAAGGGTTCAACTGTTCGTTATAAATGTCATGCTTCAGTGACACCCTTCACTCTCACTCCTTACAATTAAAAAAAAGTTGTATATGAGCCTGAGAAAGAATTCTGAGGCTGAGTTTGATGCCTGTTTAGTGCCTGACACTGTGCCAGCCTTTCCAGGGATAATAGGAGGCAGTGTTAAATGTTTTCAGTGTGTCAGGGACAGTACTGTGCACATTGCATTCATTATTACACCGAATTCTCACAACAGTCCTAACGTGCATGCTATTATTAACCCCATTTTTACAGATGAGGAAACAGAGGCTTAAATAAGTTAGCTTGCCCAAGGTCACACGGCTGTTGAGTGGCGATTCAAAATCCACCTACTTGCTGCTCATCCCTGTGGTACATTACATTCCTAACCTGTGGTTCTCCAAGTGTGTTTCCTGGACCAGCAGCATCAGCAGCTCCTGGGAACTTATTGGAAATACACATTTTCAACCCATTCCAGGCCTGCTGAATCAGAAACTCTAGGGGAGGGACTCAGAAAGCTATTTTAACAAGCCCTCCACACAATTCTGATTCATGCTCAAGTTTGAAAGCCACTCTGTTAAGCAGTTATTAAATAAGCATTATAAAGATAATTTATACATATATAAATATGAATAAGTATACATGTAATTTATAAATATAAAACACTGTTCTCTAAGCTGCCAATCTAGTTGAGGAAGTGAGACCAATGCATACAGAATAGCAACAAACCAAAGGGACAGTATAAAATCAAGTGACAAATTTCACACTTCTGACCAGAAATTCAGTAAGGAAGTAGGAAGAAAGCAGCGTCTGAGTGCCTAGTGGGGTCAGATGTGACCTTTCATATATGTCATCTAATTGAGGAGATTAGCAAAAGGTTCACAGCAAGTGAGGGGTCAGGAAAGTTCTCCTAAAGAAGGGGTTTCTAAGCTGAACAGAAGGACGGGAGGAATGGAGGTGGACAGAGATGAGGGGGTGACCACCGCCTTTCAGCTGAGGAACAGAGCAAGGCTGTGCGTGACCACTGTCTGAAGATCCCACGCAGGGTGTGCTTGAGCGATTAATTCTGACTTCTAGTCCTCTGTTTTCTCATCTGTACAATTAGGTAACAGAGTTGTTGAGAGGATTAAAAGGAAATAAGGGAAGTATCTGAGCTCACCTTCCTATGAGCCTAGTACACAGTAAGTGCTAAAAAAAAATGTTATTATTGAGTGCCTGGCACATAGGAAGCATTCAGTAAAAGTTAACTCTCTTTCCCTCAGTGTTGGGGAATAGTGTATATTTGCCAAGCGACTTGTCGCTTGTTTTCACTTGAGGATAGCTGTACATTATCTTCTCAATCTGTACTGTGGACTTTCCCCACTGGAACTTAGAGCTCTCTGAGAGCAGGAATGTTTTTTTCTGTTCATGGTTGTATCCATGTCTAGAAAAGTAGCCAGAACACAGGAGGCACTCAGCACAGTGCACTCAGGCACTCTGCAGAATGAGTAGAATGTGCAGGTGAGGGGCCTGGTCAAATGGTCTTCCCAGTTCGCATGGATCATCAGTTCTCATCTGTATCTGGAGGACTGCGACCCTCTCTTCCTGCTTATTTCCTACTGATTTGTTCTGTGTTCGCACAGACTGAGCCCAGGAGGGGAATAAGGGGCTTTCTGTCTCCCGATTCCATGGTGGTCGTGGGAGAGGGGAACAGCATCTTGGAACAACAGCCCTCACAGGCAGCCTTCGCACATCTGTACTCGCACATCTGTACTCGCGCAGCCGAGGGAAAGAGGCGAACTGAAGCAGGTGCCTGAGGACTTAGGGGAAAGCGATCGTTTGGGGTAAACTGTCTGGGTATCTGCCTCCACTGTAACTGAGGGAGCCTGATTCCAGAAGAGCCCCACCCCAGTTTCTGAAGTTGTTTTTTCCTGGTTGGAGAGTTTTGTGGGTAGTTTGGGGAAGGGGCAGAGGGTGGGAGGCAGTTTTCCTGGAAAGAGAGATGTCAGCTGTGACTTCAGTGTAATGTTTACACATACCTTAGATGCTGTGCACCTGCCCTTCTGAGGCCTGAGGTCCCCTCTGTGACAGCACCCTTCCTGTCAGGAGCTCACCAGGAGGCAGGCACAGAGCCGGGCTGGGATAGGTTTTGCATTCTTCATTTTAACAAGTCGATGTGCAACCTCCTCTGGCAGGTTGGTTTAAGTTTCCTTAAGCTGTGCTCCTGATTTTATAAACACTCAACTCGACCCTGCCAGGGCCCGCACCACACTCCCTGGCACAGGGCCACCGGCTATAATCACCGCTGAATTTTAAAAACCAAAAGTAAAGCCTAGCCAGGAACCCCGCTAACTTAATATCTGTTCTCGTGGTTGGTGTCTAACATGAAAGAAACCCTTCCCAACATTTGTCAGGTCTCAGTCCGGACACTAGAATCAAACTGCACAGCACAGTCCCATGCCTCGCACTGAAATCACCATTATTTTTTCCTCCGTTGCATAGCAATGTAAGTAACACACCACAGGCCACCGAGCCACATAGGTTGGTTTAAAGAAAAACCTGGGCACTGTTTATTCCTTGGTTTGTTGTTGTACGCTTAGCGTTTTCCTATCATTGTGCTGTGCGAGCTGCTCGGGGTTACCCACCAACAGGAAGCAGGACCGTTCATTGTTGAAAGTCAGATGCCATATATGGCTTGTTTGAAGTTGCTTTCTTTCCTTCTTACCATGATTAATGCAGCTTTGGGCTGACGCTCAGTGAGCCTGACAGGTGCCGTTAGGAAAGACGGCGTCACGTGGCCTTGGGCGTGGAAGATGCTGGAGTCTGCTGAAGCTTACAGAGGTTGCTTCCTCCTCTTTCCAGACTTCTGTCAAACAGTAACTGCAGGGCTCTGACCTGTAAGGAAGACTGGTTTTAACACCTGAAGAAAGTACTCTTTGGAGTCCACCCAAAAGCTACATCACCCTGGAAGGCAGATAGGAATTTCCTCAGCCTTGCTGTAGGATAATCTTTATTTCTGGTTTCTGCCAAGGCGGGAAGAGGGTGGCAGTGGCCAAGGCTGCCCTAATGTGGGTGAGAGGGCCTAGTGTTGGGAGGGCAAGGACCCACTGATAGGAGTGTCTGCAGGGGCTGGAGCTCCAGTCAGTCATCCGGCAGACCTGGGGCCGGTCTAGGCAGCATGGCAATTCACATCCAGGACTTCAGAGCCTGGCGGGTGACATGGCAGCGCACTGCCTGGGGTTGTTCCTGGCTGTACTATTTACTTGCTAGGGAAACTTGGTTAGTAAGTTGTTTAGCCTCTGAGCCTCAGTTTTCTCATCCATAAAATGGACATGATCGAGTACCAACATCAATCTATGGTCTTTGTGCAGCTACAATGAGTAAATCTATGTAAAGCTGCAAGTAGGTACATGCGCATAGTGAAAACTCAGTAACATAAGGTATTAGTGGAGGTCGTATTTAAACACTAGAAGTACAAGTGGGAAAGTACAATCCAGAATCCGAGAGGTTCATATAGGTAGAGAGGAGTGGGGAACAGGTATCCTGGTTCTAACCAACCAAACTAACTGGCAAGAACCTCGCAGCTCATCAGGGGCATGGAGTCAAAAGGAGAGATTCCTTCCTCAGCAGTTGTCACTCAGCAAGCGTGCGCTGACCACCTACTACGTGCTCGCCACTCTGCCAAGTGCTAGGCGCTCAAAAATGATTAAG